GGAAAGCCAACATAAAACAAGGGGGGATATGAAGTCAGCGCATGCTGAAGCACACAAACCCACATGTGGATGCTCTCCCAGGGGAGCACTGAGACTTGCCTCACCTCTCCTGAGTGCCAGTGAGATTGGCAAACACACTCAAGCCCCTTTCTGCCTCCAGGAGGTACAACGAGGGATTCTGCCGCTGACTTCAGTACAAACAAATTCAGCCCAGCACCAAAATAACCAACTCAGCGGCATTTAGGAGCAGAGTTATTTCAGCACACGCTGGTGTGTGGGTGTTCCTAGGGCAGAACAAGAAAGCCTTATTTCAGCACAGCCGCGGCGTTCAGTGCAAACCGCTCCAGCACACAACTGCACGGACGGAGTTAAAAGTGGGAAATGCAAATGGAGGAGTTAATTCCTGCTCTCTGAGATGAGTGAGCCCTTAACACTCTCAAACTTAAAGGTTTCTGGTTATATCATCTTTCTTCCCATGTTGTATTCCTTGTCCTGGTCACAGGATGGTTCGATCTCTATGTGCTGTTAGCAGGGATTAATTCAGCACGTTACACGTAATGGACTGTGGGTGGCCCAGGAAAGGCGACCTGCTGAATCCTGCTAAAGACAGAGAAAAGGATCTGCCTGCTCCCAGGGGAAACTCATAGCACTGCTGCTTTTTCTAGCATTTTTCCTCATTATTATATAGAAACCAAATGACACCAGACAACGAGAACTCCAAATAACCTCAAGGCAACCATCACTTTAAAGATGACGTTTTTGTCTGCAAATTGTTTACCTATTATTGTAACTAGTAACTTCTAAAATTCAAGTAATTGGCCTGTTTGCTTTCCTTTGGGATAAAAAAAAAAAGCAGCAATTTTTAGCTTGCTTCTTTTCTGTATATGGTAATGACCTTTCCTCTGCTAGTGTGAGTTTTTCACAGAACTGAAGAGGAAAGGAAAACCTGTAAACTGAAAAATAATAAGGGAAAGAAGTGGCACAAAAATGAAGGCTGGACCCAGGGAGACAACTATGTGGCTAGATAATAACCAGATTTTAGAGAACATGAACATCACTTTAATTCACCTCTTTTGTGAACCTTAAGGGGCAAACCTGCCGAAGGTGTTCACCATCCTTGCAAAAGGGCTTACTCTGAGTGCCAAACACCACTGGTTTGCACCAGGTCAGGATCCCTACCCCAGACCTATCACAGGACCCTTCAAAAATCACACTTGCCCCATATCAAGGCAACAGATCTGCAGCCTATTTAGGCGTGTTGCATTTCCCAAAGCCTCAGCTGGCCAGCGCCTCTCAAGGGAGCGTTCCAGATCCTGAACTCCCCCAAACCCTTCACGAGATGCCATCACTGTTATCGTCACCTGGTTCGCTCTGACCTGACGGGAACTCTGCGTGGAACTGTGTTGAGATCATGCGAGGGATTAAAGTCAAGTAAGCACAGAAAGTTCTGCTGACTCAGACACGCAGAAGTCTCCTTTTGAAAACCAGAGTCCTGAAAAGAGCCGCATTTTCCAGTCAAATACTAGAAAGCGAATCCAATGTAAAACGCAATCATGTCTCTGTTAGGAGCCCTGGAGGTTAGAGCCGATTTAGTGCTGCACTTTTTACTGAACAGTCCCAATACTAAAATAAGATGTATATATCGTTTCTTTAAAAAAAAGTTACTAAGGAATACAATACTGATTGTGGTCTTCTGGGATTACTGAATTCATTTGACAAACTTCACATGCTATTCTAGAAATAACAAATGCTTGCCGAAACCTAACTCCTCTTCAATCTTATTCATCCAACAAGTTAAGCCTTTTTTTATTTTTAGAAAAAAACACATTAAAGTGATGGAGCAGCCCCTGTAAAAGGAAAATCGCATTTCATTTAGTCCACACTGATAAAATTCCACTAACATTTCAGTCAAATCAGTCTTTGGAATTTTAAGATGTAACTTTAAAGGCCCCATTGATGGATTGCTGCTGTAATCAGAAAACATTAGTACATTGTTAAAACTACATGAATTACCCAATAATGGCTCTTAGGAAAGAGGAGCTAATTTCCCCAAAAGAGCAGAAAGCAGGCAGGGAAATAAATAACCCCTCCAGTACAAAACTGTTGATATTTTAGTTCTGTTATTACTGAATTGTTTTCCAGTGTGGAAGGTATTTCTCACAGCACGCACTAAAGAGGTCCCTTGAGTAATTCAACCAGATTCCCCAGGACTTTCAGTGACCGTGGGTGTGAAACAGGCACTTGTGGAACAGAGCAGCTCCTCTCTCTGTCCGAACCCCAGCACAGCCTCAGAGGGAGCGCACGAAGTCGTACACGATTTCATGCCCTGCTTTCACTGACCGCAGGGACACTGAACGGGACAGTCACCCACAAGAAGCTTGCTTTAAAAGTGAAATACGAATTTCATCGCAGAACAGCAGCGCTGTGACGGTGGGTCGGTCACACGTTGCAAGCAAACACAACAGCGAAGTTCAATGGTCCCAGCCCAGAAATGTGCGATCTCCGGGCGAGTTCACCGGCTGAGCCGAACTTAAACTCCCCCGTGGATCGGCCCCTCTGGACCAGACCGGCTCTCGCCGACGCCGACGCGATTTTAGGAGCCAGCAAGGGGCTGACCGCGGCGCCCTGCACCCCG